CCGCAGGCCTCTTCTCGACGATCAGCCCGACGGCGTCTCCTCGTCCGAGGGCGTCGCGACGCCTCGAGGAATCTCCGTCGGGGGTCCCTCGACGGACGATGCCGCTCGACTTCCAGGAATTAAACGATCGCCTTTGACGTCGGGGTGAAAAGCTCGCGTCGAGCTTTACTCCTCGTTTCCCCCTTTTCCCTCGTTTAGAGCACCCACCCTCTATCTTCGCCCTCCCTTTCGGTCACGTGGTATTAAGGAAATTACCCTGGATCCTGTATACCCTAATTAGTTTAAATTCCCTATCAGGTGTAGAAAAAAGTCACCAGGAATTATGGAAATTTTATACGGAGGGCAGTATCACCAGATTCCTTCGATGATTTAGTTTAAACAACATTTGGGATAATTTCAGCCTTACTCTTCGCTTTACCTTGCATCCCTTACGGTTAAGAAATCTCGTATTCGGAATTAACTTGCGGGATAGTTTAATTATCTAATTTAATTAAAATCGGGAATAATTTGAGTAACTCGTGAGGTAACGTAATAACTAATTCGCCTTTATCCCAGGGGGATCCGGTCGATGTCGATCCGTGCCTCCCGAGGCACTTGTCTTCGGCGTTTTCCGCTCGGGGGATCGGGCCCTCCCCCCGCTCCCACCCTCGACCCCCCGCCAACTTGGCCCCAGTTTGCTTGACTAAAGTCAAGTTTACTTGACACACGTGAGGAACGCCCGGGGCCGTTTCACGCCCTTCGAGCCCGGCTCCCTTAAGTTCCGTTCCGCGACTCCGACAGCCCCCTGCCCCCCTCCGGGGAATTACGGCCCCCGGGGGTCCGCGACTTTTTCGACTTTGATTTATCCCGAGCCACCGAACTTCCGGGCACACTCCGGGGGAGAAAGGGGGAAACCCTCCCAGGCAGGTGACTTTTAATTTTCGCCGAGGTAGACCGACGACTCTTTAAACGCCACCTCCGACTTCCGGTCCCCTTACTTCCGGTGCACTCGACTCCCCATGGGGTGAAGGATATAAATTCACCCGTGAATTAATTTCCAAGTAGCTGCGACAATTCGCCGTCTCGACGTTACCGTCGGAAATCGATTCGCAGCTTATTGGGGAGGGGGGGTATCGATTTATCGCACCGGTCAGCAGGCAACAGGTCGCCCGGGCGGCCTCGAAGAAGGGGGCCGAAATGGGGGGCACGCTCCGCCGGGTCGAGAATATTGGCGAAAAATGCAAATCGACACCCGGAAGGGCCGTTCAGACCTCGATTCGCCGACTGGGAGGTAATTGAAAATATGCGTCATCTCCGGTACGCCCGGGAATTTTTCTGCGCCCCCCTCCCCCTCCCCGTGCCCGGGCGGGGCACCCCCTTCCTGACTTCCGATTCCGGTTCCTTTTTCAATCCATTTTTTATCTCACCCTCGAGTGGACCGTCGAATGGTCCATCTCAGTTCCAACACCTGTTATCGTGGGTTTTTATTATTTTTTTTGTTTAAGGTGAAGTGACCCCTCCCTTCAAATTAATCGACTGGAATAAGACACTTTTTTTTTAATGGTATTCGACCGATCTGTCCGAATCTTTAAAACATGATCACCTGAGTATTATCCCAACAGTTTCAAAATTTGGATTTAAAAAAAAAAAACATTCACCGTTAATACTTTTTGGGGGGATTTCGGGATAAGTCATACGTGACGTCAGGCCGCTCCACATCGGACGTCGGGATCGCCCCCAAGGGAACCGCGGTGCTCGAATAAACGCATCGCCTATTATCGGGATTCGCGCGAGTAATTGACTTTGCCCTCGGCAAACCGAATCCCGAATTTAATCAGATCTCGCGGCATCGCAAATTCGACTGGTTCGCGGGAATCAGGTCACGCCTCGATTAGCGTCTGCATTTTAAGTCCCCTCCTTGAGAAATCTCAAAGAAGAGGGAAAAAAAAAGAAAAACACGAAAATGAGAACATTCCCGAAACAATGCCACCCCTCACCGGAAGTGTCTTCGCGATTCCTCCCCCTTCCCCCTTAAGAAGGATAAAAACTCGAAATTCCATCAGAACAACGTTAATCACCGGCGTAACCGTGATTGTACTGAGAGGGAGTTTGAGTCCAATGTGTAAAACTCGCTGCCGAAAAAGGAAAATTTGCCCCATCCTCCATGGGGGGGGGAGGAGGAGTAGGGGGCAAGAGTAACAAAGAGGAAAGAGAGAAAGCCTGGCTCGTTTCTGCGAGCGCGGCAAAGGTTCTCCAGGGCGGAAATTCCCGGTGGTGGGGGGCTGCATTTTCCGCGTCCGGAAAACGCGCGCGGCCCGTGACGGGCCACTCGCGAGAAAGCCCTCGTTGGTCGGCCGAGTTTTTCCCTCGGAATTTCGAAATCCCCACCCTCCTGTTTTCGCCCGCGATATACACGATGGTTCCTCGCTCTCTGTTTCTCTCTTTCTTTCCCCTGATCCCCCGTTTTGTCTCGCCCTCTCTCCCCCTTTGTCGAAACGGGCCCGAACAAAGGGCGGCCCTTTTGTTCGCGCCCACGTCGGGGAAAAAGGAGAAATCCAGGCTGCGCTTAACATCCCGCCACGTCGGGCCGGCCTGCGTTTTCACGGCCGGACGGTCTTTGCCGAGAAAACAGAGACTCCTCTTTTGTCCCCGATGATAATCGCACGGGACCCCCTGTTAATTCGAAAAATTATCGGGCGATACCCTGATAGCAGGGGGGAGGGCACTGATCAATAAAAATTGATGTTCAACGCGAAAAGAGTTGGGAGAAAAATCGGCCTCGGTCTTGGGCTTGCGAACGTTCGTTAACTCTTCGGCTACTAAAGGCATTCGACGTTTGGTCCATTATTGCCTGCACGGCTTGACGAATTTCGCCCATATGTCGAAAGGGTATTATATTATAATATTAATGGCAAGAAAATCTCACGTACTATTTTTATTAAATTTGCAGGTATTTTTCATCTCACTTTTATGAAATTGTTCGAGCCTGCCTGGCAATAAACTGGCATTGCCCATGATAGTTTTAATTAATATTGCAGTTGCTGAATATTGATTTTTTAATTCTTGGGTCGACTAAATGGCAACATATTCTGCGGTGTTTGCTTCCATTTTTATCGAACCGGTCGCGTCGACTTGATGTTAAGGTGATTGAGAAAAATTAATTTCATAAAAGTGAAATGTCGTGAGTTTCAAGACTTTCATTTTTTTCATATATGTGGATGGTTTAAAAAAGGAGGATTTGATATGGGATGTTTTAGTGACGATGTCCTAGAGCGGGGAGGACGAAGATTTGCGGCGCAGTTCCGATGACGGAGCGCCCGGGCCCCGCGTCGGCCCGTGACGTCAAGGCGCCGCGACGCCCGGCTTAACCCCACAAATCCCACGTAAGACCCCCCGCGAAATCTCGACTCCCCCGCGGGGTGGAGGGATGGGGGACGTTTCCGCACATCCGACGATCCGGGTCCTAAGCTTAGGGTGACATCCGCGTACGCGGAGGGAATGTCATGGCGGATTCGTTTTGTAATTGGCTCCCCCGTTTCGTAATTGGACTGCACTACGAGATGCGGAGAGAAAAAATAGCCAAACAATTTGAAAAACACGGGTTTAAAATCTGGTCATTCCCTATTATCGACATCCCCATTCGGATTTCACCCGACCGCCTTCCCGATGATCAGGAACCTTGTCCACCCCCGCCTGAATTTGCGTAAAAAATCAAACTGGAAAACCAGAGGGATTTATTCGAAATTTTGTCATGTCAAAATTTCGCCCTCTCCATCTTTGCCATTCAAATCCGAATCCGGGGAAACGTTTTCCCGAAAATTGGAATGCCTCGAGCCAAGTTTCCCCGGGTGAATTTGAAGTTCCGGGCTTCCGCGGGATTTCGAGACAGTCCCCCTTTCCGCGACTCCGGCGGACCTGCGGAAATTATATCAGGAAGCTGCGTAAACGAGCGGCGCAGCAAATAAGCCCGGCGACCCCCAAGAGAAGCCGGCGTCCCGACGCCAGCTCCGTCGTCGAGCTCTTTAGCCCCGCGTCATCCGCGCGCACGCACCTCCCCCCCCCCCCCCCCGTAAATCTTAATGGATTCATTTTGTAATTGGCTCCCCTAATGGGTGGAGGGCGCTGCCACGCCAAAAGACGACAAACCGAAACCTCCCTCTGCTGCTCGACTGTTTGTCCACACACGTACGAGTGTCTATATACACTTGTCATTGTGTCCATTTATCCGTCTATACATCATTCCGCTCGCGGACGCTGCGGATTCGGTCGGCGGAAGAATGTCCCGCGCGCGGTAGGACGCCGTTTAATTTCCGTGAGAGCCCGGCGTCGATTAATTAACGACCCTCCTAGGAGTGGACGAATTTACCCCGAAAAAGGGCGAATCGACGGAATGGACACACTCACTCTGATTGTCGCCCCCCTGATAATTGATAAACTGGATCGCCATCTCGTATAATTAATTAATTTTTTTTATAACCATTGCGACGTCTCTTCGATTTCTATTAGAATGTCATTTTTAATGTATATAATGGGTGTGATAATTTGGGAAGGGGATGATGATGACGGGACATGTTGATTGAGGTGTGCACTGATCGGTTCCATCATCGTGTACGATTATTAATTAATTTTTTCCCTTCAACCATTTGGAGCAATTTTTTCCTCCCGATTTTATTCGAGGATGTCCCTAATTAATATCTACTATGGATATGATAATGCACTTTGAAGGGAATCAGCTGATCGGCTTCCATTACCGATTATTAGAATTAAGTTCTTCCCGAAATTTGGGGCGTGTTTGGCGTCGATTTTGGGTGAAAATGTTGCCTTCAACTTCGACTGCGAAAGGCGTATATACGCCCGACATTTGGTCCATTATTGCCTGCACGTCTTCGGGAATCCCGCCCTTATGTTAGTAGGGCTTAGCATTCAAATCTTGATATGGCATATTAATTTGGGAATGGAGTATGTTCACCATTGTGCGCGCTTTCGAGCGAGTCAGCTGATCGGTGTCGTTTCTGTTCTAGGTAGGTCAAGTAGAGAGTATAGTTGCGTAGCGTTCAGAGAGTCTACGTAAGACCGGAAGAGGCCCGACAGGATGATGATGGCCAACCTGCCCCCCGTTATGTTGCCCACCCTGCACGACTACGGCATGCTGACGCCCACCCTCGGCATAAAGGTGAGTCCACAAGAGACAACAAGGCCAGTCCTGCGAGTGGCGGCCGTGTGCGTACCTGTAATACCGGCAGTGCGTGTAATTGCGCCGTGACACGCGGGTTACCTGTAAGTGGATTGGCACAGGTGCACCCAGAGGCCCTGGGGTCTGCCATTAAAGGTGGCCGACGGAAACTTTCCTCGCCGAAAGGAAAAACCTAATTAAATCCAACAACAAATTACACCTATATTTCCAATTCCACTGAATTTTTAATCATTCAATTCCAGTCGATCCTAGCCTCTGACGACATAGACCTTCTCCACCCTGATAAAAAATCCCGCGTAAATTCACATATCCAAAACCAGTGGTTATTTTCACGCCACAATAAATTACAGGAAAATTACATCCTCTCTGGAATATCACCCTCGGCACCTGAATTAATTTCAAGATAAATGTAACGTAACATTTAATTCACCTAAAAATGCGCCCATACGGTAAATATCTCACCTTTTTTTCCGCATGAAACCTTTGTTCGTGAGGTGTGTCAAAGCGTGGGTAAATTTCCATCGATTTCCATCAGCGTAGGGTCAAGATAAGTCCAAACTTTTCCCCCGAAAGCTTGCAGAAATAACGAGGTACAGATTTCGCCCGAAACCCTCGTCAGAGGGTTCATCTCTAATTTTCGTAATTAACGGGCCGCGATTCCTCGCCATATCCAGTCCGTTAAACGGCCGCTCAAGTGGCGATTGTTTATTAACCGTAGGGGTGCAGTTACTTAATTAAACGGTATTAACGCAGGTTCGCTCCCTTTGAGAGTGGCATCGGATTTTGCCCCCTCCCCCCCGCAAATGTTTGATGTATTTCATCAACGCCGCCCCCTCTCTCCTCCCGCGCGTTTTCGCGAGAGTTTCGCGAGCTCCATTTTTTTTTCTCTTTTTTGTTTTTTCCCCCGTTTTTCCAGCATCTCGCCCGGGCGGGTCCATCCGTCCATCTTGGTCTGCTTTTTTGTCGCCCTCCCCCTCTTCCCATGCCAGCATTTCTGTCCCGTGGAGCTCGTCGTCGCGCTTTGGACTCTTGTTTGCATTTAACTCATTGATTAAAGAACTCCCTTCGGGGGTGCCTCCCCCCGGCCACCCCCACTTCCTCTCTTGGATGTTTATGATACTTCCGAGAAACGGGAGCTCGTAATTAAACGTCCTCCCGGGATATCTGGCAAGCATCTTCGAGTAGATTTGCTTAGTTTTCTGCAGCCGTAATTTCAGAGAGCCCTGGGGGGTGGGTGGGTGGAGGGAGGAAGGGGGAGGGGGTCCAGCTTTCGTAAAGGGGAGTAAGCTCGACATTTCGAAATTCAGTTTTAGCTTTTTCACTCGCCCGCTAATATGTAACTTTTGTTCTTGGGAAATTCTGATTTTCCGGATGTTTTTCTGTTTTGTTTCTATTGTGTTCTTTTTTTTCTTTTTCTTTCTTTAAGGATCATGGGAGGTTTTTTCTCTCGGTACGGTTGTTTTTACGCTGGATTTTTGGCGGAATTTTGGCCAGGTTTTCCTGTAAGATGGGGCGGGTTAAAGGAGATCGAGAAAGGACACGGCGAGAAAATTGCTCGGAATATTCGAAGGAACCGGGAAAGCATAGAGATGGGAAAAAGAGGGTGGAAGGGGTGCGCGAGAAAACCGCCGGGTATTTCGAGGGGAATTTTAATTAACACGTCGCGACCATTGACCGGGCGGGTGGGGTGGAAGAGAGGACTCTAGGGGGCCGGGGGGTGGCGATACCTCGGGGGCGGAATGTATCGGTATTTTTATCAACGCTGGGCGGAAGGGCGCGAGGCGTCTGCCGGCGTCCGTTCCGCCCGGTCCATTGGACCCCATTCGCGTCCATTCTCGCCCGGGTGGAGGAGCGACGAAATTTCGAGAACTCGCCCCGAATCGATACGCCCCCAACCCCCGGCAATATACCACGCTAACTGGTTATTTACCCCCGCGTACCGATTATGCGACATGGAACACCTACCCCTAGGGTGGTTTTTCATTCGATTTTCGACATTTCTTTTCCTTTTCTTGGTAATACTCGACTCCACCAAGTAAATGGACCGTACTTTATCGTTGTAACCAGAATCGGCATTTCTCTCCCTTGGTATGAGGGTGGTCGCATCCCCCTCTGCGAAATTTTCAGCCCCCGAGGGGGTGGGGCTCGAGATTTTTTCATTTTTCCAATGAACGTCGTCTCGTGGACTTCGCCCTGTCAAAGCCATTGCGAGGGCCGTCATTTTTCCCCCTCTGATAAGGGTTTACGCCCGATTTTCACCCCTGAGGGGGTGAGCCTCGAAGTCGACGAATTTCCTCGATCGAGAGGCGCCTTTGTGGCGACCTTAGGGCTCCTCTCGGAGAGGTCCGATCATCCCCTTCGCTCCTGGTAATTAAAAGAACTTCGGAGGGTGCTCCGGGCACCCCCTTTCCACCCCTCCCGGCAAAGTGAGCGTTCCCATTGTGCCGGCCCGGGTTTTGTCGCCAGCCCCGTTGCCTCCGGTTATTATATATCGTTTAAACGTAATATGCAAAAGACCCCCATCCGCCCCTCTTTTCATCCCCTGCAGAGGATCTTCTATCTCCGATACAGACTCGAAGGAGGTCCGAGGTCCTCCGGAGTTCCTTTATAAAAGTCCCGGGGAGAAAAAGCTGAATAACATTAAGTTAGTTAATATATTGCCTTAATTTTAATATACAATGCCCGAGGAGAGCCTCGCTCCGTCTCTCTTGCTCAACTGCAGTCCTGCATCTGCCCCTCTCTCTCGCACTCGTGCGCTTCCCAATGCCAGGGAAGAAAAGACTTTAATTAGTTTGACTGGGTTCTATTTTTTTTTTCCTATTTCGCTGAATATCGGTAAAATGTCCGTTTTTTGTGTGTTAGAATTAAATTAGGACATCAGCTAGATGATATGGCTTGGTAAAGGGACTTTTTCGAAGTCCTTGGTTTCCACCCTCTCGTGTCGCGCCCTCGGAAGTTCTCTCATTTCCCCGTTCTCCTCGATCCACCTTCGAGCTTTCTGCAGGGATGCTTCTGGAAAAAGCTTCTTTGGCGACTTCGCCCGGAATACTCCTGTTTCGTTTCCTCGGCGTACCGGAAGTCAAGTTCCGTTTCCAGGAATTGACTCTTTCTAGGCCCGAAGGCGAAAGTTTCTAGCATCGCTTGGAAAAACGTCGCTGAGAAGGTACAAGTCAATTGTTTATTCTGTTATTGAAATTTAGTAAGATCTCGAGAAAATCTAACCAAAAGAAAGAAAAAAACTTGAACCCTTTGCGCTTTCTTTTTCCTACGCGTTCCCTTTATCATCGCCATTTGACAGTGGGACTCGATACTCCCGGGGGTGGAGGCGCCGGAAGGGTTGCGCAATTCCCCTAAAAATACAGTTTTACGTCCGGCCGGTCTGTTTTGCTTTTCGCCAAAGGGGAGGACAAGGATCCGCGAGGGGGTTCCCCTTAGAGCCGCGGACCGGTGCCGAAGTGTTCCCCCGTGGGGTATTTTCTTTGAATTAATCGAGCCGCGCGATGAGCACCCTTCGAGCACCCCGTGGAGGCCGCGCGTCACAACCCTTTTCCTCCCCCACGTGCATACACATCCCTCGGAAAGTGGTCGACCTCTCCTACGTGGCCGGACCCGGGGCGCGTGACGCTCTCTCGGGTTCATTTGCATACCCAAACAGTGGAATTAGGGTTGGTCCGGGTATCTCGCACCCCGGGGATAAGCCGGCCCCGAAACAGTTCCAAACCTATCCCCCGATAGATTGCCCCGTTGACTGCCCCCTGTAATTCCGTAATGGACAATTTCCGCCGCGTCTTCTCCCCCTTCTCCATGGGAAATACCGGAAGAGAAAAAGAATCCAACGGCCGCGTCACGTCTGTAACATCAGTTTCATCTGAGCACGGATTATCAGTCGCTACTATTTACCTTACCTTCTAAAACCTCATTATCAACGTTTCTTCTCGTGACGATTCCGCGTGACGCGTCGCCTTGACGACCGATCGAAATTGCCCGTTTTTATAGGTAAAGAAGTTTCGCTTCAATAATGGAAACCCCCGGAATCGGGAGATAAAAGTGGTCACGTCGGGAACGTCTTACTGGGGCCCGCGATACGGCGATTTGAATATATCCCCCCCATTGAATATTCCATAAATAAATCGGTCGTTTAATAGGGAATCGGGTTTGCTCATCGCTCACTGTCACGACGCGCCGCTTTATGGGAGCGTATCTCAATAATATTCAGTTTATAAACTTTGAGAGGCTCCGTTATTACGCGCCTTGCCCCCCTCCCGCTCGCCCACCCTCCTCCTCACGGGGGCAAAACCTTCGTGCTCGTTTTACGACTTCGGTATGAAAGCGCGAAATTGGTCGCAATTTCTAGCGATACGGACCCCCTTTAATCGGGGGCCCCATGAAGGCTGGCGTGCATGGCTCGATCGAGGGCGCCCGAATTTCAAGGGGCAGTAATAAACCAAGGGGAAGATATATTAACCCCCGTTAACGGCGACCGAATTTACCCTCGGCTTACCTCGTTATTTTAATGGAAAGGGAAAAGACCGGGGGTCATTGTTGACCCCGCGCTCTACGCCGTCGTTATCACGAATCTCGGTTGAGTATCGAGACAAATACATTTATACGATGTTAAATAGGAAAAATATTTAACGCGGGGTCATTTCTGACCCCATGCTTCGTTTTAATCTACACGGAAATGGCGTGAGATATTTTTTCTTTTACCCCTCAAATTGATTCAACGATTAAAGAGATATGAAAGTGGCAACTGTGAGGGGTGAATCGTTCGGGAAAGTTTTCCCCGAACTGGGTGAATCGATTCGTTTGAAATTTTACTACGTGAATGTGGAGACCATAAGAAAGGTTCTGACAACCACGAAATTTCATTTTTTTTTTTTCTGTTTAATTAAAAATGTTTGTATATACGTTTTAAAAAATTGAAATTTCATGAGTGTCGGGACCTTCTTTATAGTCTCTGTATTCACATTATAAGGTTT